GGTTTTAGAAGTCTTTACATCTAAAGCAAGAACAGATTCTAAGGCCAGATGAAGGGCAGCTTTTAATAGCAGAAACCATAACAATATGAAGAAAGATGAAACATATGCGTGTTTTGTTTTATTTTGCTTGGTAACTTATTTTGTTCTGTCTGTCATTACTTGGAACCACTTAAATCCTACTTTTTATTCTTAGTAAAATCACTTTTGTTTATTATTGAACCCAGAGTAAGTGATTAATACCCGGAGGAGCAAACAGCTGTGCATATCTCTATATCAGTATTATAGAGGGCAAGCAATTTATGAGTTTACCCTGTATAAGCTTTATACAGAGTAAAACAAATTTATTTGGGGTTTGGATCCCATTAGGAGCTGGGTGTCTGAGTGCTGGAGACAGGAGTACCTGCTGAGTGGTTTTCAGTTAAGGCCTGCAGCTTTGGGGACGTGGTTCAGACCCTGGGTCTGTGTTGCAGCTGGTTTGTGTGTCTGGCTCAACAGGACAGGGTTCTGGAGTCCCAAGCTGACAGGGAAAATGGGCTCAGAGGTAGTTTAAGCATGTCAGGTGAGAGTCCCAAGGGGGTCTCTGTGACCGAACCCATCACAGAGACCCCACTGTGCTAGGTGCTGTAAAAATAATTGTAAGAGAAGTCTGTGCTCCAAAGAGTTGATATTCTATACAGAATGGAGAGACTGCGTGTGGAACAGGAAACAGGCACAGAAAAGGGAAATAACTTGCTCGAGGTGACGCAGCAGCTGGGAGGCAGAGCAGAGATGAACCCCAGGTTTCCTGACTCCCAGTCAAATGCCCTAACCACTGTACCAGTGTTCATCTTAAAAAAGGGGGTTGACCCCGGTAATGATCTTTATTGCAGGCTTACCTGTATTTCTGTGCAATAGGTATTCTAAGGGGTCTATATTTATTTTCTTACTCATTTGTATTTTTATATTTAAAAAATCTCAGTAAAACTTTAAAAAATCAACTCAAAGTTACAGTATGCACTAGCTGACATAGTTTTGCTGCTAGCTGGCAGACATGAATTTTAAGACATGCTTCAATAAGTCTGACAGTTACAAAGCACTCTACTCACCTCCATGTGGAAAAAACTGTGCATAGATCTGTTTGAACGTCTCTTCATTAACAACCCCACTAGGACATTCCTGTTGGAAAACCAAGAAAAACCCTGTCAAGATTCATTTGCAAAACACTACATGCCCAAAGAGAGCATTTACACAATTACATTCCTATTCCTGCAGCATACTGTATGCATGGTTTGTGCAGCTGAAGAAATTAAAAGACTTAAGACTATAATTCTCTAGCTCCCATAAGCTTGGCTCACAATTTGAAAGAAAACCAACAAAACCCTCCACAGTTCAATCCCCATTTTGTAGGACAACCTGGGAAGTTGATTCATGCCTTTTGCCTTGTAAGGTCTTCATATAATGATAATAAACAAGATTAATACCAAGTAATATTTAATCTTCAATGTCCTACAGAAACATTAACTCATTAACCTTCAATGGAACCCTGGTGGTAAGTGAGTGATGTTAGCCTCGTATGGGGTTCATAGTAAGTATTATTAAGTCCTTATAAATAGTAACGCCCCCTGTGAGTCCGGGGACAGAATAGGCCCACTGCTCCTCCTGCATGTCATAAGAGGCTGCCTGGAGAGGGATGGGCTCCGCCAGGTTAGAAATTTGCCCAAGACACACCATATGATGAATAAGTCAACTATGTCCATGCCGGATTGGTCACAGCCTGGGTTAATAATGATGCCACCATCCATCTCCCACCAGGGCAGACGTGACAAGTATACTACTGGTGTAACCCCAACAAAGAGGATCCCTGGAAGAGATAACATCACCATAGCCACATGGAATGTAAGGACACTGAGACAAATAGGGAGCTTGAAAGAACTCATGTACAAAATGGAACAATATACCTGGCACCTCCTAGGAATCTCTGAGGTCAGATGGAAGAACTTTGGAGAAGTACTAATGGAAGAAGGCCATATACTCTATTACAGTGGAGAGGACAAACATGTCCACGGTGTAGGATTTCTTGTGCATAAAGATATCAAGATTTCAGTATTAGGATGCCGCCCAATGTCGAGCAGGCTTATTTCCATCCATCTAAAGTCAGTACCGTTTAATATGACAGTGGTACAAGTCTACGCCCCTACAACAGACTATGATGATGAGCAAACTGAAGATTTTTACAATCAGCTCTAAGACATCACCGATAAGGTACACAAGAAAGATATTCTGATTGTACAAGGAGATTGGAATGCTGACGCACAGGCAGATTGGCGAGATTATTGTGTCCCTTTCTGTAATGCAGTAACCAATGAGAGGGGATTGAGAATTTTGGAGTTTGCAAGCTATAACAGTCTGGTTCTTGCAAACACATTAGGAGCACATAAAGCATCCAGACGATCAACATGGCATGCACCTAATGGTCTACATCACAGCCAGATCGACTACATCATGGTGCAAAACCAATTTCATTCTGGGATTAACTGGGATTAAAACAAGGAGCTTCCCCGGTGCTGATATTGGAAATGATCACAATCTTGTGATGCTAATTTTTTGGCTGCGGCTAAGGAAAATTGTCACGCCAAAGTTCACCAGAACCAAGTTTGACTTAGAAAGACTCAGAGACCGAAACGTTGCAGAGTCATTCCACGACAATGATCAGCGGAAAATTTGCCCCGCTGCTTGCTCTAGAGAAAGACGTAGAAACAATGACCAACAATTTCAATGCTGTAATGAATGAGGCAGCAATGGACATTGTTGGGAAACATTGTAAGAAGACAAAACCATGGGTCACAAATGAAATACTACAAATGTGTGACATTAGAAGAGAATTTAAGAGAGACAAGAACAGCACTGAGGGAGCTGATAAATACAGAGTGATTGGCAGAAATATCAAAACAGGAATGAAGGTGGCCAAGGAGATATGGATTGAAAAACAATGCTCTAATATTGAAGAGTGTATCAACCATAAAAATAGAAAACGAGCCTTCCAGGGTGTAAAAGATCTGACGAAGGAAAGATGGATCAAAGCTAACGCAATTCAAGACAAAGAAGGGAACAGTCTTACAGAAGAAAGGGACATCATCAATAGGTGGACAAACTACTGCTCTGATCTATACAACCACCAGACAAATGGAGATTCTAGTGTCTTAGACAGCCCAGATTCAACAGAGGAGGATGGCTTTCCAATACTGCATGAAGAGGTGGACACAGCTGTGAAATCATTCAAGAATGGAAAGGCTACAGGTATTGACAACGTCCCAGCTGAACTGTTGAAATTCGGAGGAGAAATAGTAATAGATGTACTCACCAAGATCTGCAACAAGATCTGGCAGACCAGTAAGTGGCCCTCCACGTGGACACAGTCACTAATCATCATTCTGCCAATTGTGTCAAAATTACCAGACCATAAGCTTAATTAGCCATCCCAGCAAAGTGATGTTGAAAGTCATATTGAACAGATTGAAGCCACAAGCAGAGAATATCGTCACTGAAGAACAGGCTGACGTTCGTGCTGGAAGAAATGCCACTGAACAGATTTTCAAACTTCGTGTTCTATGTGAGAAGTACTTACAACACCATCAGGACATTTACCATGTCTTTGTTGACTTCAAGAAGGTGTTTGACAGAGTATGGCATGAAGCTCTCCGGGCAACCATGAAGAAATACAATGTTGGTCGTAAGCTTATTCTTACCATTAAACAACTGGGTAAGGAATTGTGTCCCTAGCCTCTATTTGTCAGAGGGTGGAGATGGATGGCAGGAGAGAGATCACTTGATCATTACCTTTTAGGTTCACTCCCTCTGGGGCACCTGGCATTGGCCACTGTCGGTAGACAGGATACTGGGCTAGATGGACCTTTGGTCTCACCCAGTACTGCCGTTCTTATGTTCTTATGTTCTTAACTGTATGCCAAGGCCAGCAATGCAGTTCTTGTCAATGGCACAATAGGAGAGTGGTTTCGCACTACTGTTTGAGTCTGGCAAGATTGCCTTCTTTCATCCACACTATTCAACATTTACTTGGAGCGCATGATGACTGATGCCCTAGAAGATCACATATACACAGTCAGCATTTGGGGGCAAACAATCTCAAATCTTTGGTTCACTGATGACATTGATGGCCTGGCAGGCAGCAAAGATGAACTTGCCAACCTTGTGAAATGATTTGATGAAACCTCCGCAAAATATGGCATGGAAATCAGTGCAGAAAAAACCAAGCTGATGACAAACAAACGTGATTGGATCAGCTCACATATCACGGTCAGTGGACAAGAGCTGGAGACAGTGAAACAGTTCAAATATTTGGGGGCAATCATCACTGATGAAGGATCCAAGGCAGAAATTTGGGCAAGAACTGCACAAATAACAGCAGCAGTGGCAAAGCTGTTTGGAGGAACAAGAATATCTCCCTGGAATCCAAACTTAAACTACTGCACGCATTGGTCATCTCCATGTTTCTGTATGCGTGCGAGACATGGACCCTTATGGCAGAACTTGAATGGAAAATATAGGTAGTAGAGATGAGATGCTTCCGTAAAATCCTGGGCATCTCATACTTCGACCACGTCACTAATGAAGAGGTCTGCAACATCAACACCCAATGCACTGGGTCATATGAAGACCTCCTGATGACCGTGAAGAAGCGCAAGCTGAAGTGGTATGGCCATGTAACAAGATCCTCTGGCCTATCCAAGATCATCCTCCAAGAGACAGTACAGGGGAAGAGAAGAAGAGGTAGACAGAAGAAGAGATGGACTGACGACATTAAAGAGTGGACAGGAATGGACTTCGTTGCTACTCAAGCACTGACACACACTCGTCAGGGGTGGAGACAATTGGTTGATTGCTCATCAATGATGGTGCCCCAATGACCAATGTGGTTATGGGAGTGGTGGTGGTGGTGATAAATAGTAACCACTATTAGACCTAGAAAGGTTAAGTAACATTCACCTTAGGCTACTTCATTGAGAATCTTTCCATTGACTTCTGTGGGAACTGGGTCACACCATAGAGAGATATTGCAGAGCCAGGATGAAAACACAACTGGTTCTGACTTCTGGTCTGCATTAAGGCCACAACCCCTCTAACTTCTGCAGTTAGGGTTGCTGTTTTCTAATATGGGTCCCAGTGCTCTGTGGACTGACAAACTACAAATTGATGGTGTTTCCTAGGTTTTATAACAACTGAATTGTAGACAGAATTATTTGTCATACTTACCCAATAAACCACAGTTAAATTTGTATGAAATCAAGAAAAAAAGATACAAATCACTTGTCTGATCTATGTCCTAGTAAGATTTTGTTTACATTCCAGGATCACAGCACTGATTCGGATTTGGGTAATGCAAAGTTTCAGAATGAATCCTGAAAATATATAGGTTTTTCATAGTTCAGGGATTGAATGCACACTCAAACTTGATATAGGTTTGCAAACCTGCACTGAGTTTTGAGATAATGTATAGGCTACAGGGTTTTTTTGGGTGCCCTGTTAAAGAAAACTAATGGAGAAAATAAGAAAAAAGTTTCTAGTTTTTTGGGTTGTGAAGGCACCTTTCACTCCTACTTCAGTCTCCTGTAAGTCAATGCACTGCCATTCTACCTCCTCTGCAGAAAGACAGAAAAATCTTCCCCTTTCATCTTAATGGATTGTGAACTTCAAAGCCTACTTCCGGCCATTATAGTCAAAGCCTTTTAAAGAAGTTTGTTTAAAAAAAGGTCACCCAGCTTGTGGCACAATAAAATGTTCTGGAATTCAATTATAACACTTTTTATGTTAACATACAATATGGTTAGCAATTCTTTGCATTTTGAAGTGGAATGTATTGCATTTTTAGCCAGTTAAATTACTACCTAAGTACTTAGACAGTAAGTTTCCTGATTCATGTTTCTTCCCACAATTCTGGCAGCTTAACCAATTTTGAAATGGTTCATCTGAAAATATTGGATATCAATAATGCAAATATCTGTGGCGTTAACCCGTTTTCACGAGGCAGAGGGTAATATTTTAGATATGGAAAAGCCCAAGTAAACAATTGCTCATGTCTCATATTAACAGTGCAGTTCCAACCTTGGATATGCACACACAAATTGCAGAAGACCAAATTCTGTGCTGACCTACATGTG